ACAGCCCTCTGGACCTTGGCCAGGTCTCCACCAGGAACCACAGTGGGTGGCTGGTAGTTGATGCAGACCTTGAAACCGGTGGGGCACCAGTCCACGAACTGGATGGTGCGCTTGGTTTTTATGGTAGCAATGGCAACGTTGACATCTTTGGGCACATTTCACCATCTGATTGGCTGGCTCGAAGCAAGCGTTTGTGATTTCTGATACAGTTAACTGCTCGTGATAAGCTTTCTCTGCAGAGATGACGGGGGCGTAGGTGGCCAGGGGGAAATGGATACGAGGGTAGGGCACCAAGTTGGTCTGGAACTCTGTCAGATCAACATTGAGGGCGCCATCGAAGCGGAGCGAAGCAGTGATGGAGGACACAATCTGGCTGATCAACCTGTTCAGGTTGGTGTAGGTAGGACGCGCGATATCGAGGTTCCTACGGCAGATGTCATAGATTGCCTCGTTATCTACCATGAAGGCACAGTCAGAGTGCTCTAGGGTGGAGTGGGTAGAGTTTTATGGCTCAACCACAGCGGTGGACACTTGGGGAGCTGGGTAGATGGAAAACTCCACCTCCTGTGCAAATCTCCCATCCAGACGTTTATGCCTAAAGGGTTGTATGGTATAAAGAGATTGTTGATTGAGCATTAAACACCAAGTGTCGTTCTTCTTTCAGCCCAAAGATCAAAGAACTGGGGTATTTAACAGGATCCAACCATCGCCCTGATCAGACATATTCTAACAGGATTGCACACAGGATGCTGCAGAAGCAAAATCAGTTTCCAAAACGTCGATCTGGATATCAGCCCGTTTTCTTTTCCTCATTACATCGTGAGCTTTAGAGTATCTGCTGAGCTACTGGGCACAACTTAATATAAGCTGTTTATATTTATTTCTGATCTACAACAAGCAGCACAACTGTTAGAACTGTCACAGCTGACATTAACTTAGATGGAAACCTACTTCCACGACAGAGTTTACCTCCTATGGTGTCAATATAAGCTCAGACGCATGTTGAATAACAAATATCCACTTTCCCTGCTGCCACCTGCATGAACATTACAGCCAACAGGTGGATTTTCCCGTTTCACAGCTAGCCAAACAACGAGGAAACACTGACTGTTTAGGAGACACAGAGTGAAAGTGGACAGTACATCTTTGGTTTCTTAACATGAAACTGGGGGAGCACCAAAGTGACCCCCTTAGACTTGTTAGTTTTAATCTTGTTTTCCACTGAGGTTCACTGGTTTTCTAATATAATGTAAGTCTATGAGCCGCTATGTTACATCTATGCAAGTTTGTGAGAGCAGGGCTTCATGGTGCAAATTAATCTTTGTACACGTGGTGTTTAATGTCCACTTTAACTCCAAGTGGAAATTTTTTCAATGACTTTATTTTAGGGCAAAGTCAAAAAACTGTTTGGCAGTTTATTTTTTAAATGCCCCATAAGTAGGATGGCAAAGGGTCCAATTTGTCCCAGTGGACGGAAATGCAAGGTGTGAAACTGCAGCGTGGATCGTTGTTTTCTATTTTTACACAACTGCACTGCGATTCTTGATGTGATGATGTCAGCGTTATGATGCGTACATTACCCAAAGGGAGGCTAATCCACAATCACACAAGTTAAAATATTTTGCAAACTTACTTTAGGAATAAACAAAATCAGATCAGATGATCACAGTTTAATTCAGCCTCACCATTGGAGCTCCTCTGTGCCCAATGAGAGTAGGGGCAGGTCCCAGAGTTCCCGCCTCTTTGATGCAGGGCGAGTACATTCCCAGAGGAACCAAGTAGAGCGAGAACAGCACAGACAGAAAGAGTCCCAGGACGGCCACCTGACGGACTAAATGCCACAAAAATAAATAAAAGGTCATGAAACAGGAGCGTACTACTGCATACTACTGTCCAAATATTCTGCACATAAAATACACGCATTCTGCTGTAATTTGTGCAATTCACATGTAAACAAATCCTAATACTAACAAGCATAAAACTTCACAGTTACAGGAGTGCTATGCAGTAGAAACTGGAACTTAATCAGGATAATATGGAGTAAATCTTTCTTGATAGGATCAACATAGTGCTTAACAACAGCAGCCATATGGGCAACACAGGGAAGTCTGGACAGAGAGCAAATA